GTACCCGTCATTCCTGCCAGCGCGAGAGGCAGGCGACTCCACATAGCTTCAGCAGCTGAGTGCGTCGTAAAGCCCCAATGACACGTACACACACGCAGGAGACGTGTACCAGCTTGAAAGCGTCCTGGGCTTTGTTCTAAAATCGCGGAGGACTGGTATTTTAAATACCCACCACCTATTCGCGCATTAAATTTGTACATATGTGGAGGTGAGCTTGTCAGGAGACACTGGACTGGGCTTTTTTTACTTTAAAATTGCACACTGGAAGCATTTGCAGATGTGTTGGAATGCGGTTCGAATGTTGGCAAGACGGATTAGATGATGAGAGTGAAAACCTTGCAAAGAACGAGGATTGTGTGGATACCAATGACTGTTTGTTTTGGATTTGATATCGCTTGCGCTTATGATCATTTCGACGAAAAATGTGCTGTGCTGCTCTCGAGAAAATAAAACAATGATATAATACGCCAGTCTCATATTATGCAGCGTTCATCATGTCCTCCATCTTGTACACACTGAGTTGAGATGACCGACGACCGCATGTTCGTTATGGTGCAGCACCAAATGCGCACAAAAAGTGGTTACGCGAAAATAAAACACAACCAAATGGTGCTTTATTTAGCAGACACGTGCGCAATGCTATTCTGGTACTTCAAGCCCCAGAGATTCTATCTTGTCATCATCACTACATTGCTTTCAATCACGATGGGTATGAGCACGCCATATCATGTGGTGTGCCGGCTGAATTGCCGGAGAACATCCTGAGTGCTGGCATGCATTGCACGCGATTCATATCATGCCCGCAACGCCTGAGGCTTTATTTTGACGCAAGATATTAAAGAGATGTGTAGAGGAGGCCAATCTCCGTGAACTGCTAAAATTATTTAGGAGAGACCAGGGACCAATCCACCCCAGGAGGACGGGAGGGGGGGGGGGGGGGGCATCGTCTGGTACAGGGCCAAGTTATTGTTGTCTGTAGCTACTATCCCACAATGAACAGGGTCGCATGTTCGCGTACCTGCGGATACCAAACCGCTTTGGTCGATCTCCAGGCCCACAAGAGGATGAGAGCAGGAAAAATCATCCTCCACAGACACATCCTCACGTCTGGTACGGTCCGATGTCAGCGCAGCGTGCGTACGCTCCTCTCGCCTCCGCGGGCGAGGGGCTCGCCACTCGCGTGTGCAGGCGAGAGTCTCCGCTGACGAGGGGCTCGTCACTCGCGTGTGCAGGCGAGAGCCTCCGGGGCGAGGGGCGCGTCACTCGCGTGTGCAGCGAGAGCCTCCGGCGAGGGGCTCGTCACTCGCGTGTGCAGGCGAGAGCCTCCGCGGGCGAGGGGCTCGTCACTCGCGTGTGCAGGCGAGAGCCTCCGCGGGCGAGGGGTGTCACTCGCGGTGCAGGCGAGAGCCTCCGCTGACGAGGGGCTCGTCACTCGCGTGTGCAGGCGAGAGCCTCCGCGGGCGAGGGGCTCGTCACTCGCGTGTGCAGGCGAGAGCCTCCGCTGACGAGGGCTCGTCACTCGCGTGTGCAAGCGAGAGCCTCCACGGGCGAGGGGCTCGCCACTCGGTCGTGTGCAGGCGAGAGCCTCCACGGGCGAGGGGCTCGTCACTCGCGTGTGCAGGCGAGAGCCTCCGCTGACGAGGGCTCGTCACTCGCGTGTGCAGGCGAGAGCCTCCGCGGGCGAGGGGCTCGTCACTCGCCGTGTGCAGCGAGAGCCTCCGCTGACGAGGGGCTCGTCACTCGCGTGTTGCAAGCGAGAGCCTCCGCTGACGGGGTCTCGCCACTCGCGTGTGCAGGCGAGAGTCTCCGCTGACGAGGGGCTCGTCACTCGCGTGTGCAGGCGAGAGTCTCCGTTGACGAGGGGCTCGTCACTCGCGTGTGCAGGCGAGAGCTCCGCGGGCGAGGGGCTCGTCACTCGCGTGTGCAAGCGAGAGCCTCCGCTGACGAGGGGCTCGTCACTCGCGTGTGCAGCGAGAGCCTCCGCGGGCGAGGGGCTCGCCACTCGCGTGTGCAGGTGAGAGCCTCCGCGTGCGAGGGGTTTGTCACTCGCGTGTGTGCAAGCGAGAGGCACGGATGCTGCTGTCCACAGGCCGTTCTGCGGCCGCCGCAGTGGCTCTCATCTAGTTTTCCTAACACCGTGCCGCACGCGTTGCTGGTTCCCCTTAGTTGTTCTCCTGGGGTTTTTCACTGGGTCGGTCTACTGTCCAGAAGTGACGCCACCAAGCCTTCTCGCTGAGATGTGGGAAGGGAAGCAGGTGCTCACTGGGCATCCTGTGTAACTGGTATGCTTTTTGTAGCTAAGAACCATGGGCATGAGAAAATCAGTGATAACCGGTTTCAAGGTATAATGTTCTTACAGAATGGAAACCAGGCACTAAGAACCACTCCCGTGGTCCGCTAAAAAGTGGTAGCCAGAATCCAGGGTTTTGCTTTGTCGAATGAACCATTGGGAATCTGGATCCAGAGTTGTTTTGTAGAGGGGGCCAGTGGGAGCAAGGAACTAAAACTGAGAACCGGGCAAATGCTGGCAGCAGTGCGAAAGAGTGGCCAGCAGCACCTACGCCGCGATCGTACGACTCAGCAGTACGATAAAACGGCACGTGAGCAGTACGGTGTACCGCAATAACTCCATACCGTGCCGAAAGCGTTGCCTTTGCTTCGGTCTACGGTTCCTGGGGCTTGGCCTCTTTCCTTGGGGTTCGTGTCGGCATATTATCTCGGCAGGGCATGTCTTTGCATATCAGTGCGGATTTTGGGTCTCGCCAATCGGAATTATACAAGAGGCGTACTACTTTAAGAGGGTGCTACTGCAGTCCGTCCGCACATGATGGCGACATCTCACAGCAATGCATGAGTCTTATTCATCGGGCAAGAGTCTTGCAGCTCACCGGACATTGTCAGCACGATGTGTGTGTTTTTTTTTAATGAGTGTGAATTGCATTATCCGGACTCGTGTATGAGGTGCACTGCGTTAATAAACGTATATGTACGCACCGAAAACGCTGGCTTTGCTTCCGTCTTCGTTTCCCGGGGCTTGGTCCATGTCTTCAGCATTGCTATTGGCATATTACCTCGGCAGAGTATATCTCCGGATGTCAGAGCGATTTCAGGCCTCGCTCGTTGGAATTGTACAAGAGGTGCACTACTTTAAAGGGGTGCTACGACAGTCCCTCCGCACGACATGATGGCAGCATCTCATGGCAACGGGGTAGTCATATTAATTGAATCCAAGTGTTGTAGCTTAAGCGACATCGTCGTCACGATGTGTTTGGTTCTAATAAGTGTGAATCGCATTATCCGGACTCGTGTATAAGGTGCACTGCGCCAATAGACCTAAATGCATCGCACCGAAAACGTTGGCTTGGCTTCGGTGTTCGGTTCCCGTGGCTTGGTCCGTTTTTTAAGATTGCTGGAAATGCTTCAGCTCAACCGACATTGTTGGCTCTTTCTCTAAGTTGTCTGTTTGGAAATATCAATTAAAGTTTCACAACTGCCAACAAATTAGGAGTGCAGTGATCAGGTAAGAAGCACAAATAAGTACATTGATAGGGTAAGATTGTGGGCGACTTCCTGGTCTGCCCGCGATGGGCCGTAAGTTATCAAATATTTGATAAAAACGATCAAAATTATGTTATGTACGAAGGTTCAGCGCACCAACAGATAATTCGAGACACGAACGTGAAGAACTGGTACACTTTTCTTGGCCGCTCGTATGTCCGTGATTTGGTGATTATGTTGTCCTTTTAGTACATGTTATAAATCGTCTGCTGTCTGCGTGTTAAAAATCACATCAGCGGTTTGCTGCCGAAATTATAATATTGTCAGATGCTAATTTCTTGAAGATGATAGGCAATCATGCAAACATTGTGAGTAGCAATGGTCGAATCGACGAAATGGATAATGCTTATTGCCTGCTCATTATTTTTGGTGCTAAGGAAGTCGTTTGGGTTGCATGATTTCAAACTTTGAAATTCAAAGTTGGGCAATTCTGATAACGCGAGCTGATTGTGCCCGTTTCGTACTACGCATAAAACGCTCCCAGTGGAGATTTTTCGTCTTCTAAAAAGGTTAAGTACTTGAAGAATCCCAATACCTTCAGAAAAAGCCAAGAAGAAAATGATTTCCTCGATGAGCCAGAGATGAGCCAGTGCACGTCGGTTGGAGAGCTGGCACACGTCGGCTGGAGAGCTGAGGGTAAGCCGGCTGAAGTACGGCAAGGTCGGGTTGACAGCGGGCGACGCCGGCCTGACGTGTCTATCGGCTGGACGTCGGCACATACGAACATCGATGAGGGCGGCGTCGGCATGTCGATTGGGCAGTGGGTATCCAGCACCGGCAATATTTACACTTTCTAAGGTGTTGGATCGCAAGTAAGTAGTAGCAATGCATCCATATGTAGCGCTAGCAATTAGTATTGAGTTGACTTGTATTGGCACAGGTCACTGAATGAAACATAAGATCTTTCTGACTGCTTTTTTGTCTTAGCCATGGAAGCCCACGCCAGCCGAACGTTGACAGCAGTGATGATTTCCGCAATGACTTGATGACATTCCTCTCCAACTGGATAATATTTAGGAAACTACGCCTTTGCCCTTGCCTCATGCAGTGAGGGAAAGAGCGCAATGCATGCACAAAATAATGCAAAAAATGAGCATGACTGTTCTCCATTATCTACCTCTTGTCCTGATGAAAATAGTACGAAGTGAGTGAAAATAAATAAATAAAAACCTGCAAAGAGGTAAAAAAGTGCATCACATCGGAAAGCACACAAGGGAAACGATTTTGTGACAAATGCCTTTAGAGAAAGCCAAGAAGGAGATGTTTTCCTTTCGGCAAACACCCGCGCAAATGTTCACGTTCGCCCAGATGGCGCTGCGACTGGTGCTGCAGCGATATGAGAGCCCCTGGCCCGTCTGATTACAGTCGCTTCGGCTGCAGCGATTTCAAGGTCACCAGGCGGGGCCGAGATTGACGATAGTTTGGCTGCGCAGTCGGCTGTTTCCACTGTGGAGGAGGCGGGCCGCCAGGTGCGCTCGGGATGATGTACCTCTGGCTGGTGATAGTCCTTTTAGCTGTGCTGCTGTGGGCCTGGAGGTCTACCAAGCGACCGGCGTGGAGCCCAAAGGGTGAGTAAACGTGCGGTCCACGGGTGCCAGGTGAAATACTTTTCAGGTTTGCATCTACGTCGGTGTCGCGTTTAGACATAGGCGGATCCGGGGGGGGGGGGGGGTTCACGTGGCTATGCCCCCCCTCCCAGACCTCTGAGAGTGTTTTGCCCCCCCCCCCCAGAAAAAAAACATTCCGAGAGCTTCATAAAAGTTTCGCGTACTTGCCGTCTGTTTTTACTTCAACCGTTTAAATTGTTTTGTTTAAACTTCTGTTTAAGATTAAAAGCATTTCGGTGTTTTTGTTTTTGTTTGGAATGGTGTCCCTACTAGGTGCTCGCGAGAGGCATCATGCACTGGACCTCGGATCCCACACCAGCCAGCTGGCGACGGACGGTTGCCCCTCCCCCCAAAACTGCAAACTAGATCCACCCCTGCGTTTAGAGACCATCACGCACAAGAAACAGGCGTCTTCAAAGAGCGGTGAATGCGTCTTAGCTCTGTGTATACGTACGCAAAGTCGCAAACCAACGAATTATTTGCACAGAGATACCTAAAGATGCGTGCATTGATTTCTTCATATCCTTGCGTATAGTTGCTATGCGTCTGCAATACAGATAACACGCGCCCGGGTGGATGGTTGGATAGCCTTCGCTCGGGTGGGGGTCGGACAATTTGACCCCTCCTGAGATCTCAAGAACTAAGAAGGCTAGAGACACGAAATTCTCAGCGTGTGTTGACTGTTCGTTAACTCGCTTAGGGCAAAGTTTGAGGTCCTCAGGTTATGACCTTGGAGTCAAATAAGGTCAAACAAAATCAAATTCCAGGTTCGTCTTCAAAATGCCCCCAGAACCTAGGAAACGTCTGAGCAAAAAGATCATATGCCCACTTAAGGTCAGCGAACTCGTTTGACCTTTTGAAGATCATGATGACCAAGATCATACAAAACTACTTTGAGTTTTTAAGTTGAACAAGCGACAAATATTTTGATAGGCAGTATGTTCCTAGAAATAAAATGTTGATTTGGGTCATTTTAGGTCAGTGACCTATTCTGACCTCTAAGAACTCCATGGAAGATGTATAATGTGATTCCTGTTACCAATAATTTGGAAATGAGCAAACGAAACTACCCCATACAGCAAGCCCTAGAGTTATAAAACAGGCTGGTTTTGACGCTGGTCTGATCCTCATATCTGACCCTAGGACGATACAATTTGTTCTTTCAATTGTTGTGTTGCCTAAGAAGGCATTTCAGTGGTGTACGGCTTCGTCTAACACTTCGCTAACACTGCGTCAGATTGCACGATTCCCTGAAAATTGACTTTGCTGCAACCATGCCTAACTTTGACCTGCTATAAGTCAGCGGCCTTACAAGGTACGGCTAAATATTATTCCGGAAGATGGCCGACGACCGACGAAGATGATCGACCTTCGTGGTCGATTTGACCTCAACGGAGCGCGTGCTAATAGTTACCACATTGGAGATTCTCGAAACTAGGGGTCTTCTTATTATCCGGTCACCAATAGCGAATTGAAAAGAACCAAAATGAACACTACCAAATCGGATGTATCACAACTCAAATGAACATTTAAATACCGATGGCATCGTCGCCACCAATATGCACGTTTTCGCAAGGTTAGTGGAGTCGTTAGAGGTAATGCCTGCTTAAGGCACCAAATACAAGAATGAAATGCCCAGAAGGGATAGGATTCCCCAGGTTGGCCGAGGTTCCACCAAACCAGTGAAACGGATCATTGAGATATTGCAGGAAACCAAGAACTTGTGCTGGAATTTAGAATATTTAGTCCACCAGCAAATGCGACCAGATTTCAAGCGAAGCTGGCATCAAGTTGCGAATGTTTTGGGACGAAGACGCCATGATTTACCCTGGAGTTGGGTCCTGAGAGCGAGTTGCTGAACAACATGGAGTTCCCCACATACCTACAAATCCAGGGGCTGCGCCCCTGGATTTGTAGGTATGTGGGAAGCCGCTGTGAGGTGCGTTTGGTCCGAAAGATGCAACCCTAGTTCGCACATCAGTTTTCTGCGGCTAACAGGATGCTCCATATCCCAATATATCGAGCATTTGGTCAGTACTTACCTCAGTAGTATCACACCGAAGGTGACAACGTAGTCAAACAAAGGTGAGATGGACCAATTAACATGAGGGTTCATTCCGTAGTCAACCAAATAAAAAATTGGACTATTGAACCAGCATAATACCTGATGTGTGATTTTCACGTTTTGCGACAACAATCATTCTTATTTACAGGACCACCACTGATGCCGTGGGTGGGAAATCTCTTCTCCATGGACTTGAAGCACGCCCACCACACCTACGCCGAATGGGCCAAGATGTATGGTGCCATCTATCATGTCAAGATTGGCGTCATGCACCAGGTTGTGATCAGCGATCCCGACTTGATCCGAGAAGCCTTCAGTCGACTTGAGCTCAGCGGTCGACCCGACACTCAACTATTTCAGTTTATTGTGAAGGGAACGGGACTAGTCTCTTCCCAGGGTGAGTTATGGCAGGAATCCAGGCGTCTGACGCTTCATCACCTGCGCAACTTGGGCATGGGCAAGTCCGAACTGGAAGAGTATATGCACTATCAGATCACTAGTTACATGGACGAGATTCTGGCGCCGAATTGCGGCTCCGAGCTTGCCTTTGACTCATCTCTGAACATCGCCGTGGTCAATATCATCTGGAAGCTGGTCGCGTCGGAGGAGCTGAGCCTCACCGACACCAAGGTCCTGAACGCCATCACTACGCTTTCACAAGTTCTCGAGACTGCCCAGCGCATGGAAATTCTTGATGCCGCTCCATGGCTTAGCAACGTGCTGCCAAGTTTTGTTTTCAATAAGGCAAAGATTGAAAAGCAATTTGAAAGTGTAGTGGATGATGTGTTCATGCCCTCCATCAAGAAACATCTTGAAGATCTTGATACGCTCAGTGAGCCTCGCGACTACATGGAGGCCATGCTTCGAGAACAGCAGGAACGACCGGACCTGCTGACCGACTGGCACCTCCTTATGTCGGTGATGGATCTGTTTTTCGCTGGCAACGACACGACGGCTACGACCCTGCGCTGGGCATTCTGCTTCCTGTGCAGCCGCCCAGAGGTGCAGCGGCGTCTGCAGGCCGAGCTGGACGGCCAGGTGGGCCGGCAGCGGCTGCCGTCCCTCTCGGACAGGTCGCGTCTCCCGTACGTCGAGGCCGTGCTGCTGGAGACGCAGCGACTGGCCGACATCACACCCTTGCTGGTGATGCATCAGTCGCTGGCGCCTGTCGACGTCGGCCGACACCGGCTGCCGGCTGGCGTCCAGGTCATCGCTAACGTACACAGCGTGCACCACAGCGAGCGACTGTTCCCCGAGCCGCTGCAGTTCCGGCCCGAGCGTTTCCTGGACGGCGACGGCAAGTTCCAGCCGGACAAGAACGTCATGCCGTTCTCAGTGGGCAAGAGACAGTGTGTGGGCGAGAGTATGGCGCGGGCTGAGCTGTTCCTCTTTGTCACCTGCTTCATGCAAAAGTTTACCTTCCGTTGGCCAGAGGGGTTCACACACGACCTGGGAGAAGATCCAAAAGGCACGTTCCTTCGCAACCCCAAACCGTACAAGCTCGTACCAGAGAGGCGCTGAGGCGGAGGGACGGCGAGGAGCAGGGGGCCAGCCGCTCTCCTCATCCAAAAGTCAGGGGCACACGCGCGCGTGATGATATCTGTGATCTTTGCTTACCATTAAGAGCCACCACACGCACGTAGAAAATTGTGTGGTTCCGGAGAGACGTATGAAATGCTGCAATTTCTTTCGATCACAGCAGAATCACATTTCCGATTGTGAGTAAACATCGCTTCTAGCACAATGACTGTGCGTCTCCGAAATTCATTTTTTGCACCTAAACTGATCGTTTAGATTCTTTATAACTTGGTTGGGCTGGTCGTAGTTAGGACACATACGCGGTAACAAGCCATACTGGTCTATGGCTTCGAGAACCTGAAGAGCCTGCACATATGATGAAGTGAACCGGCGGGCCACCATTTTGTATCCTTACGCCATTTCAGGTCACAAGTGTGTGCTCGTTGAATGTGTTTTTGGAAAGGGAGGGGCAAAACGCGATATTTTACATCGCTCTGTTTCTAAGTGGCGTTACGAGACCAATCGTTCGAGCTTGCTAAGCCGTTGCCCTCCCACTGACCACGCCTCCTCCCTTTTCATCGTGAACAGCTGATGCTGATTGCAACTTAAGTTTTAAGACGATAAGGGCAGTTCTGATAGCGGGCTGACGTGCGTAAGACATGTTGTGAACTGATATGTTATGATCTGGTATGCGCATTGCGCTGATGTGGATATTGGCGTAGAACTGTTGAATTTGCGGTGAGTTTGCAATGAGTTTGAGGTTGCAGTGATTGAGTCGCAGGTAACTAGTATGCTCGTACGAACATGGCTTCTAACCGGTTTACACTTGCGCCGCAGGTATCGATGCGCATAGGCGACGTTTCCGTCTGGGTGTAAAGAGGGCTCCAGCGCATGCTTCGAGCCTGAAGCGTATAAGCAGTGCGTGGTGTTCGCGTTTAGGGATAGATACAGCCACGGTTGATGAACATGCCCGACTGTCATTGAGTTATCCTTAAATCGCTGAAAATCGGCATTGACTGCTTGGATTCCGGTACGGGATGTTGTCGAAAAGAATTTAGATCAAGTAATTGAGAGCGCATGCTAACAGGGAGGCATAATCAGATGTCGTTACCCTAATGTCACCTATCGTCAATCTATCAAACGTGATTGGGTGTTTGTTATCTCATAAACCTTTGCTGAGCACCAAGAGCAAAACTGTCCACCTGCTCTCCAGGCATTATCAAGTTGGGGTACATAGAACCTGGGGTGCGGCAGCACTGGCAAATGCGCCAACCCATAGTGCCTCCCTTCGCGAAAAAGCGGGTGGCGAATAGTGCAAATTTCCGTCAACAGGTGTCCTCAAATAACATTACCCACTAGACGACCGTAGCTGAGCCTTGGTGTGTGCCAGCCCAGCTTCATCTGTCATCAAAATGGCTGGTCGAAGTTTATAAACGTCTTTTCACCGGTGGTGTGGTGCTGAGAATAGCGCAAAGTTTCGCCAACAGGGTCCCTTACAAAAAATTGCCCGCTAAATAGCGGTAGCTAAACCTTGGCTTGTGTCAGCTCAACTTTATCGTTCATTAAAATGGCTTGCCGCAGTCTATGAACGTCCCTTCACTTCCCATAAGTTTCAAAGTGATCCTAACATGCTCATTAACTGCATTTGTTGTTGTCAGAGAAGCTTTGCCTGCTATGGGAACTCGATCAATATCGACCTGAGAAGAACTAACGCTTAAATGGAGATGCATTCCGTCTTGAGCGCGTCCTGGCTTTGTTCTAAAATCACGGAGTAGTGGTATTTTTAATACTCGCCACCAACGCACCCTATTCGCGCATCAAATTTGTACAGATGTGGAGGTGAGTTTGTCAGGAGACACTGGATTGAACTTGTTAGACTTGAAAATCGCACTCTGGAAGCATCTGCAAATGTGCTTGAATGCGGTTTAAATGTTGGCAAGACGGATTAGATAATGGGAGTGAAAGCTTTGCACGGAACGAAGCCTGTGTGGATACTGATGTCTGTTTATTTTGTTTCCGGCATTGCTTGCGCTTATGATCATTTTCACGGAAAATGCGTTGTTCTGCTCTCGAAAAAATAAAGCCATGATATAATAAGCCAGTCTCACATTATGCAACGTTCATCATGTTCTCCATCTTAGACACACTGAGGTGAGACGACCGACGACCACATGTTCATTCGTTATGGCGCAGCACCAAATGCACACACAAAAAGAGTTACGCAACAATAAAACCCAACCAAATGGTGCTTCATTTAGCAGATACCTGCACAATGTTGTTCTGGCGCTTGAAATCACAGATATTCCATATTGCCATCATCAATACGTTGTTTTCAATCGCGATGGGTATGAGCACGCCATACCATGTGGTATGCCGGCAGAACAGCCAGAGAACACCCTGAGCGCGTGCATGCATTGCACGCAATTCATATCATGCCCGCAACGCCTGAGAGCTTTATTTCCGATTACGAACGACGTGTGTTGGAAATTAGATGACCATTGTATGCATCGATTGTGTAATTAATGGCCAAGGCGTACAGATTTGCATTTGGCTAGCGCAAAGCATCCCTCATCTACCTGAAAGGGCAACCCGTAATTCACATCCTACTCTTTGAAAACTCCCCTTGTTACCAGCTCCGCAAGCGCATCTGCCATCATAGTTTGACTGCATTATAATAATCGTACTTTTTTAAAGCTGGTGATTAGCCCCAGGTAGCAAATACTTCTGTAAACGTTACCGCGTGTGCAAACGAGAGGCCCGGATGCTGCTGCGCAATGGCCGTTCTGCCGCCGCCGCGGCGGCCCTCAAAATAGTTTTCCTAACCCTGTTACACGCGTTGCTGGTTTTGTTGAGTCGTCCTCCCCGGGGTTTGTCGCTGGAACGGTCTGATATACCAGCCCTGAAGGAGGCCGCCAACCCTTCTCGCTGGCAAGTGGGGAGGGCAGCAGGTGCTCACTACGTGCGCGGTCGGCACAGAGCCTGCACGGAGCCAAAGTACTTTACGTAGCGTTGGTTATAAGTGTTTCACGAAGCGTTGCATTTTCGTCCACGGACCGTGATAGTAAATGGCATTGAAAGCAGAAATGTAACCAATAAATGGCATGTTTTATGTGCAAGTAATATCTCACTTATTCACAAATCGTTTATACGCGCACGCACATACCGATATAAATAAATGTATATATGCTATATATATATATATGTATATATATATATATATATATATATATGTGTGTGTAGGTATAGGTATATATATTGCTGACAGCTTGACATAAATAATAGACTGCCTACTTCATTTCATTGGTAAACTGCCGCACAATTAACGACGAACTTTTCCCGACACACGACTTGTGCCAGTGGCGCACAATGCAGCTTTGCAACGCCTCTTTTTACACCTCTGAGGTGTAAATGCATGTACATGTGCATATGTACATTAACATTTATGCAGGCTTGATTAAAAATAGCAGCATTAGCAAGCTTCTTGATGCATCTTTCGAGGCTCCCAGTATACACGCGATGCAACATCTGATATCACCGGGGACATTAAGCTGCTTGGGCGGCTTGTTCTCCCCGGTTCTCGATAACATGAATGGTATTTCTCTCGGTTACTTTTTTATCCCACCAAAACGTTGGCTACAAAGAAAAGCAATGGCCGTGGCAAGAAAACTCATCAACGTCGACACCCATAGTCGAACAGTCGTTCCTGGTAACGAGTCGACCAGCAGTATTTGTGGGTCCAACACGCTCCCACTGGGCACCAGTTGTACCGCTCGCACCGTGCCGTCATCTCTCGCCGTCTTGGTCGCCTCGTGGGCGGCGATTTGCGCCGGTTCGGCGGGGGGTGACGCGACCGGCTCTCCGGCGCGTCCTCTGGCTCCGTGGGCGGCTTGTTTTCTTTGCGGCTGGACTCCCGGGCTACCCCGACATTCGTGCGGCGGCTCGAGGCTGGGCGGTGTGGCGTCGACGGCTGGCCTCCGTCGCGAGGACTGGCTGCCTAACACAGCCGGGTCCGCGCTGTCCCCGCTGAAGAAGCTGCTCACGTAGGTCAAGCTGACGTCAAGTGGGGTCGGCTCCGGGATCACCTGCGAGGTTACGACACACATGCTTCATTTGTTGTTGTTCATTGGAGTTTTCGGGCGCGTCGACTGCGCCAGAGACTAGTTGTATAGATGGCTAGACAGAGCAGTCCAACCTGGACTGAGGTTCAGCTGTGATGCGACTAGAGAACGATAAATGGAGAGCTAACGGTGCGTCTGCCAAAAGCCAGGGGCATAAAACAATCCTATTGCCTCTGGATATATCCTGCCGTGAGTTTCACACGGCAGGACTGTGACATGCGAGCAGACGTACCTGGACGGCTCGACTGACTGCCGGGCCGCACTCGGTGGCACCAGCTGTCGGCAGCAGCCTGCCCCAGAAGTTCGGGTTACCCTGGAAGGAATCGCGGGAATTGATGGGCCGCAGATGGGCAACACCGACTACGCATGGAGCAGCACTACGTTCCGCTAGCAGTAGGATATATTGGAACAAACCCGTGCTTAGACGGTGTCAGCCACATTCGCCAACGACTTCTGAGCAGGGATGGGGTGACAGATGGGGGAAGCGTCACAACTCTGCTTGGTGCCGGACTTCCGCATATAGCCGACCTGGACGCCGCAAAAATCCAACATAGCCTCGATCAAATTGTGTGCATGCTGTGGCAAAGGCCACGTTTCTCTCAAAGTGGAACGTATGTGCATTTGTCGTGATGCATGACGCACGCGCATCGCTCCGCATCTGAGAGCCTTGCGACTTGCACCGAAGCCTAAGCGTTGTCTGGTTTACACACCCCGGGCATCGGGCGACGTTCCAAGCCCAGTTCCAGGGGTGGTGAACGTATAATTTTTGTCGTTGATCAAACTTCTGGAGGAACTATTGTCGCCAGTAGCGTAATGCAATACCATATGACAAAATGATCATTAAATCTATGCTCAGTAACATCATCAGTAAGCCGCGTATTACCGAGAGTCTCTTTCATCTCTGCAGTTTTCAATATCATATATATGGCCGGAACGTTCAATCATGCGCTGTCCCTCAATAAATGTCACGAAATCCCTCGGGACTTGCCGAGGCCTCGCGTTTCAACTCTATCTACGGCTGGATTTGCTTTCCTCGACGGCAAAAAAACAGAACGAAGGGCATCGACAGCTACGGCAGCAGAAAGCACGGCAGATATCAAACCAGTGGCAAGCGGCCCTAGGAATGATCCAAGCAAGGGGGCCTTCAGGAGGCCATGCCCCCTTTATGAAAATCACGTTTGCGCTTCAAGCCCCATCTCAACCGTCGTCAAACTATCTGCCACACCTTCGACATCCTCCAAGCCTGGCGCGACATGTTTTGACTGGTGGGCGCCTCCGCCGTGCCCCAACACGTTAATGGTATAGAAATTTGTCAATAATTTCACATCAGGCGACTAGGTCTTTCTGAACGAGTTACCCGCCCTGACAGGGGAGGGTGGTCTATGCAAACCCCCCCCCCCCCCCCGATGGTTTTCTGAGGTACCAATGAGGCATCTTGTGCAGTCTCACTCAAATTTTGGTAGCCTCTTGGGCTTCCATTGCACTC